AGACAAAGTCTTTGTATGTTTTGGCTGCATGCGGCCTGACGAGGTCCAGAGGGGGGCTTAAGAGCAGGAGTCCCGCAAGCAGGCTTCCGAGTGGTAGTTTTGCGATTGGGCTTCCAAGTGGTAGTTTTGCAAGCCAGCTTCCTAGTGGGAGTATTGCAAACCAGCTTCCCTGCTAGAGGTGTGTAAATGGGTTCAACCCCAGTAGCAGGCAGTATGGATGGTCTCCTCTCCAGGTTCCACCAAAACCTCCTACAGGTGGCATCAAACCTCTCCTCCCAGCTTCGTGCCATTGACTGTGTAGCTTACTTTGTGGCAATGCCGACGTTGGCCATTTCATGCAGGCTGCACGGCAACCGTTCACCAGTGGCATACACACGATCCATGGGGCCCCGGTGCAAAAAAACTGATCCGTGGGCCCCCACCTCCCCCCCAGGCTTACTCTGCACGGGCTGAGGCAGCAACACATGGCGGGGGGCACCTGGCGGCAGATACACATACACTTAAAGGACCATTATAGGCACTCAGATCACTTCAGCTCAATGAAGTGGTCTGGATGCCAGGTCCCTCTAGTTTTAACCCTGCAGCTGAAAACATAGCAGAGGCGCTTCCGCGCATTCGGAGCTGAAAGGTGATCAGGGCAGAGAGATCCCCAGCGCCAAGGGAGCCCGGCGCTGGAGAAAGGTAAGTGCTGAAGTTGTTTTAACCACACACACACTCTCTCACGAACAGACACATGCACACTAGCTAACAGACACACACATTTACTGACAGACAAACACTCAGTGACAAACATACGGACTCACTGACAGACAGACAAACATACACGCTCACTTACAAACACACACTCACTAACAGACACCAAACCGACTCACTAACAGACACACACAAACTAACACACTCAGTAACAGACACACACAGTAACACACTCACTGACACACACACACACACTCACTGACACACAAACTAACTCACACACACACTCAAAAACAGACACACACAACTAACACACTCGGTAACAGATTCACACACACACACACACACACAGTAACACACACACACTGACACACAAAAACTAACACACTCACTAGCAGACACACACTCAATAACAGACACACACAAAGTAAAACACTCAGTAACAGACAAACACACACACAGTAACACACACACACACACACTGACACACAAAAACTAACACACACACACTAACACTAACACACATACACACTCACATTTGTTTTTTAATTTTAACCCCCAAGCCTCCCTACCTTTGGGAGTGCTGAGGGGATTCCAGTGGGGCTGCTGAGCGGCCGGTCCTGCAGGCGGCGAGGGAGCACTGATCCTCCTGTCAGCTCCCTCACGCACCGCTTACTGATGCCAGAGCCGGAGTGACGTAATTTGCCGGCTACGGTATCACTGCGGTGCGAACGAGGAAGCTGGGCAGAGAGCGCTCAGGGGAGAATGCTCCCTCGCGCGCCCGCCCAGTGACACCACGGCCAGCCTCGGGGGGGCCCTGAGGTGGCCAGCTCCTGGACCCCCCCCATGAGAAGAGGCTGGCAAACTGGCGTATATATCCAGGTAGCAGGGCGGCCGGGCCCCCTGGTGTGTATGTACGCCAGTGCCGTCCACGTTAGAATCACTCTGGGGCAGCTGGAATGTGAGTATACTCTTCTTGGTGGGGACTGGGATAAACCCCGCCGGCCCAGAGGGAGGGGAGTATGGGTCTTCTTGGTCGATAGAATAGCCTGGGAAGTCCCGGTCAAGAGATTGTCCGCTTCCATTGCTGGTAGCACACACCAGGCCTCAGTTACTTGAAGGCCGCTGGAGGTACACAACTACCGTGGTCGTGCTCAGTTCTTGCGCTAATGCCACTCTGATGATGCTCGACTGCGATCTCAGCAGCTGGATACCAAACATTAGCATAGAAATGTATTTTATAAAGGTAAAATCGTAAGATGTATCAGGAGCTGAGGCTCGCTGCGTCCTCACAGCATGACAGTCAAGCCCCGCCACCGTTGAACATATTTTTAAGCTTTTATTTACTTAATTTTTTATTTTTTTTTACCGTTTTTGGATTTAAGAAGAGGAACATCAAATAACTAGAGATATAAAATGGTTGCAAAATACATTGCTGATACATGTCTATTATTAAGGTTAGAAATGCAGTGTGGTCCTTGGCTTGTCCCATGATGCAGTTGTCTAGTTTGTCTAGAAGGATTCTGTGCCATTCAAATGTATTTATATGTTACATTTAGAAAAAAAATGCGTAAATGAACAGAACAGGCTTGGAACGCTACAACAGCGCAAACAAGCATCTGCACACAATTGAATTCAAACATAGTCATACCATAGGAGTGAAATGCTCAATTTTTTGTAAATAAAATAAAATAATCAGGCTTGCAAAAGAAGAGTCAGGATTGAGAAATCAGCATTAGGGAATATAACAGGCTAAATGAAGTGACTAGATAGGGAGTTATATCACCGTACAACATGGTATTTAACGGCATGTTAAATATTTCTATTGTATCCTTACCCAGGGCAGTTCACAAGCGTCTGTGCTTATTTACTATATAATACATTTTTAGAGCAGTCTTGCCAAAAGGTAGAACACCAGATATTTCAGTTTCACAACTTTCATGGTGCTTTGCACTTCTTAAGGTTGGCAAAGCATTATGGGTGTTGTGGTATGTAAAACTGAGCACCACGGATTTATTGTGATCATTTTCTGTAGCATGTGATCTTTGAGCATGGCTTATTCAGTTTATTGGCTAAATTATTTATTGAACCCTGCCATCTCAAGGAATCCTCTGGGAATACACACTATCCTTAAAGGGATATTATTGGCACTGTAACTGCCTCGTTTCATTGAAGTGGTTATAGTGTCTGGAGTCTCCTGGAGCAGTCCTTCCATTCAGCTTCTAACTGTTTTGAATATTTTAACGCTGAACGAGAGTCTCAGGTAGCCAATCACCTCTCTTTCACTTGGGCTAATGAATAAGCATTGGCCTGTGCAGCAATGGGCAGCTGTGATTGGCTGAGAGTGTCAGTTCTCCCAAGGGTGGTATGTATTGGTATGACTAGGAGGAAGTGTGTGATGTTTGCCTTATACATACCTCTAAGAGAGGCTAGGTTGTGGGTGGTCAGTCGGTGACCCTTTTTTTACAGTTACACTGTTCGAAAATGGTTTAAAAGTGAAGGGACTCCAGACATTACAACCAATTCAATGAGCTGACTTTCTGAAGGTTTATTCTCATTACCAATGATGTAATCAGAGGAAGCAGCGAGTTTAATATTACCAATAATTTCCACGAGAAGCTTTATGCAATCCTTGGCAAGACTGGGTAATAAAAAAGTGTAACTTGATTCACTGTTTCCAGAGGGAAAATAAATGCCTCTTTGGTCAATCACTACCCAAGTAGCTGATTAAACAAGAGACTTGTGTCTGAAAATTCTGTACTGAACTTTGTTTATTGATCGTTTTCTTTCATTATGATCTTTCCGATATTTAGTAGATAGCTCCCTAGTTTAGTAACCTTAAATATAGAAATCTCACACAAGGGTACCAAATTAGGGAGCTATCTACTAAACAGCTGAAATATCAAAATTAAGAAAATTACTTTATTAATAGGAGCTTTATGTCATTAGGAATAAAAATATATATACCTAACACTAATAGTGCTTTGATTACTATAGAAATAGTTATTATTTACTTTTCAGCCATCAACAATCCGGTCTCTACTCTGCCAACTCACATTTTTCAGAGGCTAGAGAGCATGCGAGGCAAATTGCCACGAACGTGCCAATCTAGGAGCAGCATTTGATTAAGAACTGAATCTGACTTGGTTCGCGCAGGGGAAAAACGTAAGTTTAACCCTACAATGAAAACATTGCCGTATCTATTTGTTTAACATTGCAGGGTTAAAAAGGCAGGGTTTGAAGTGGTCTGGATGCCTTTAGTTTTAAACTTTCAGCGTTTTAGTGAATAACTCACTACTTATATGGAATTGCTATATTTAGCTGTTTTGATGATAGCTCCCTTAAATATAGCAATCCAACATATGGATAACAAATTACGGAGCTCAGCTATCTACTAAAAAAGTCAAGAGTATTTTATTAATTTTGATTTTTTTGGTGTTTCCTAATCAATGAATGACTGAATTGCATGGAAGAATTGCATCCATCATGGGATTTAGGACTTGTTTGATTCGACGCTCTGGTGATTAGGTCCTTCGTTAATCAAACAGCTGAACTAGGCAATTATTATCTGAAAAGCAATCTGTCCGAATCCAAATGCACAAGTCTACTGGGCAATGGGTGCAAATGCGGGCAGTGCCAATCAATGCAGCTGCGATAATTAGACAGAAGTATTAGTTCCTAGTTTTGCTTATTGAGAAAATATCAAGTTTACTCAGCATGCTAAGACTTGGCTCGAGACCTGCAATAAACTGTAATTTATTTTCTATTTCATTTATAACAGCATCTCATCTCTCCAAATAGAAGACTGGGGCAATTTTTGTCTACATAATTAATTAGAACTCTTTATACAAGAAGTGGGGGGGTAACCCCCAAATTCACACATTGTTTATAAGAAATGTGTATCGATCCTATTCTTCAGTGCTTAAAACGTAACCTTTATTTAACTGTTATTTAAGATAAAATCAGAAAAGAAGCAAAATTGTAAAGATTTCATGTGAAATAGAGAGCAAAAAAGAAGATAAGAGATGTAATAAAATGTGTAGTAAGACTTAGGATGACTGATAGTTCACTGAAAGAAACAGAGCAATCTTTAGTAATATAGATAGTAACAATATCTATGGGTGGATTAAAGGGAACAGTAACTTTCCAGGATTACCATTTTCATAGGGTTATAAAATGAGAATTGCTGGGAATTCAATGCAAATTCACAGTAAATTTTAAATTTAAGTCTAAAATTGCCAAATAGCAGGATTGACTTGGAGATTTGTCTAATTTGAATATTTTGGCATACATTTTAAAATTCTGTTCCCGATCACTTTGCATTCCTGCTAATTCTGATAATAACCCTGTTTGTTTACTTGTCCTGGTATTAATCAAATATATTATAGTCAGGTAAAAAAATAATAATTAAAGGTAGAAATCCACTTCTCTTTATCCTGTAAGGGGGCTCGCCCATCTTAGCTCCCTGTCAGTCACTGTTATAAACTCTGTCCTTTGCTGCTGGCAATCAGCATACAGAGGAGTGAAACAATGTTTCTATTTCTATCCCTCATTTGCATTGTGTGCCTTGACTGTGCCTGGGCTGAACTGGATTATGATGTAATTTGCTAAATCTCACAATAAACAATGTGAGACTCACAAGTCGCATAGTTAACAAAGTAATTGAATTGAAGATTATATGTACAAAAAAATAAAACTGTGAATTCTGGTCTACCTAGCGTGCTGTGAATTGTGTGCCTAGTGCCATTCCATTTGTTAGCAGATCATCTCCAAACCATCAATCACACTACAAAGTTGCACTATGATAGGCCAAATTTCCTACCTTGGCATGATGGGGTAATATGCAGAAAAGGGGCAAGGAGTGTAATGCAAAAAAGAAAAGGAAAATTACATTGAGTGAGACTTAAGGAAGAAAAGTAAGTGCTCTGCTGTGTATGGATGCCCTGATTGTCCCCACTGCACAACTGGATCCAGCAATTATTTTGGTATTAATATATATAAATATATATTAATATCAAAATACAGTAAGAATTAATATATATATGTATTTTATATGTATAATATGCTAATCAGATGCTTAAATTAACTTATAATATATTATACATATATATTACATGTATAATATATTATTTTAATGTGTGATTTTAACTTTTTTTTTAAATTGCAGGCACTAGGGGTACTCCCTGAATACTCAGGCAGTCCCCCTGCAGGAAGTCTTATATACTGCTTTGCGGCCATGTGATTTGCGAAATCCGTCGCGATCACATGGCCCTGGAGGGTGGAGGGCCAGAAATCACTATTTGTAAAAGTTTTAAAAGCAGTGTGTAGGTACAGTAGAAGAGTATAGCAGTCAGGGACAAACACACCTCCACCGAGACGGCAGAAAGAAGGATTCACAGCCATCGTCAAAAGGACATAGCATTTCAGGAGTGCAATGTACCCAGTCACCAGCCACTTGGGAGTGCCCCATCTCCAAGAGAAAGGAGAGAACAGTGACAAGAGATGTGGAATTAGGGAGCCGGGAGGAAAGAGCGAAAGATAATTAAAAGAGAAGGGGCAGTTGGAGTGAGGGTATATTTGGTTGTAATGGGCTCATGCAGGGGGAGTGGTAGAGCAAAGTAGACATTTGTTGTATACAATTGAAATACATTTACCAAATTCTATTAGCCAAAATATTAATAATTACATGTAACAGCAAGTACAAAACATTACAGCAGTAAACCACAGGTAAAAATAGTAACAGTTTTTTAGTAAATGAATAATGTAGTAACAAAGGTGAAGTAAATCCAGAAAAGAATCTTCTAAATTTTAGTCCCTATCTTAAAGTTGCAGTGTAGAAATTAAGTGGCTTTGTTTCAGTTGGTTTGTGGAATTTGAGCCTAAAGTAGTTGTGGTCATCAGATGAATGCTTGTTTTCCTCAGGGGATATATGGGAAGTCAATCTCTCTTGAAAGGTATTTGTCTACGAACGCACAGGACCCATTCATTTATACAATGACCTGTTGGTTGAATGTCATTCGCAAAAAGCAAATAATGTGATGCATAATAGCAAATTAATTTTAAATCCCCAAAGTGAATGTTTAATAATAAATAAATAAATAAATACATGCTATAATGAATGTATACTGCATAGTCTGCATTAACAAGCACTGCTGCAATATGTATCCTGTAACTAATGATTCACAGCAGTGATTCATATAATCCCATACTGCACTCCCACTCAGTGGAAAGAATCAGCTGAGTAATCAAAGCATTGCCTGGTGTCTCCTGATGTCACTGGAGATCCTCAGTTATTGCAGCAAATATGAGGCATTCAGAGGTGCCTAGATTTTAACATTATTGTTATTCTCGTGTGCATTGACTAACCATTGTATAGTAAAATATATCCACTATGTAGTTAACCTTTAAGCATTGTCAAAATTTTTTATATATTGTGTATTAATATTGTTTTTGTATTTTATTGCACCTTATTGTATCAATGTAGTGTTTTGTGGACTCAGGACATATTTGAAAACGAGAGAAATCTCAATGTATCCTTCCTGTTAAAATATTTTATAAATAAATAAATAATAGATTTTTTTACAACTAGCCTTACACATCCTTTCACTGTCCTACAAGGACCAGACATGCACAATCTGATCATTTAAGCCACATCTACTACTTAGAGGTCAATTGGTCAATCATTGATCTGGGATTCCCTTGACTAAATGGCCCCTTATCTGATTCAGAAGAATCACAAGTGCATTTTTGTGAGATAACAGGGATACTATCTAAAAGCGATTTGTTAACATCATACAAAAGTAGCCAAAGGCTATTAGATCTCAAATAATAATAACAAAATGTTTAACCAGAAAAGGTACATTCAGATATTTTCTGGTTTCCAAGTATGTCTTGGGGATGTTTATTTTTGCCCAACATCTAGGAATGTTACTAATACCCAATTTATTACCCAATTTAATGGTCATTGACATTGTAATGACACAGTGTTCTTTAGACGTATTTGAATAAACTGAGAAAGCAAGAAACCTTATGTGTCATTTTTTGGGCATGAGTATATGATAAAATGTCACAAGTTATAGTAAATTTTACAGATCAATAAAGTTAATGTGAACCAATTATCTTTCTTATTGCAACATTAGGGCATCTTCAATATTTTGATTTAGTAAATTGGCACAGTAGGCATGCGACTGGCAATAATCTCTATTGAAGGATTGCTCAAAAGAACATTGCCTTAAAAATATAAAGAAATATAATATTTATACTAATCACAACAGTATAACAAAACAGACAAAAAAAACTCTTACATTATTTTGCTTATTGGGTTGTAAAATGAAATGTTATGGATACAAAAGTAAAATATTATACTGAAAATAACTAATGTTAAATTTTAGTTAGAGTTTAACAGTATAGTTGTAGAAACAATATAATGAACGTCTTAATGGCACAGATATAGTTCGATATAATACCAAGTATTAAGGTCAACAAATGACAGTTAATTAATGTTTATAAATGGTGATGTGTGGCACATGTCACAGCCAAAAAGCAAGGTTGAGAAGGAACATATGAAGTGACCTGGCACAGTGTGAGCGTGGCTAACAATGTTCTCATAATTCACCATGTAGTGGTTTTTATCTGATGTGCCCATAATTGGGACACCAGAGAAAGTATCTGTGACAGGGGCTACGAATTTCGATTTCCTAACCGGACATGAGGTTTGTAGGATGTATCAGATTGTATTTCTTTGTCTGAAAAATGGATACAATTTTTAATAAGGAAAACACGTTTTTGCTTTGAGCAATTCACAAATTGTTGCATTTCTGTTTGCTCACTCCACATTAAGTGAGATAATTAGGATTCTTCCCATGAGATAAGATGGGCAGCTCGTTCTCACAACAGTCCTTGAGGATATATAAACAGGCTATGCTCTCAGGATAACATGCATGCCATACAAAGGGGGGAATTGTATTTCTGTTATCTCTGTGTGTTTGAGAGCTCCATCTCTGTGTATCTGTATTGACAGGAGGATCTGGTTAGAGACCAACTATAATAAAATCTAATTATCAACATTAAAGGTTTTCTCGAGGCTCTAAAGCTCTGTGTTCATTGTGGTTGTTTCAGTCGCAAGGAGTCTTTTGTTGCTTTATCTCTGACCTCTGGTGACAGTTTTTTAAAAGTTGGACAAAAAACAGGGCTCAGCAAAGACAGACAGTGATTTGTGTAGGCTGTCACCGGTAAACTGTAGCAGTAATGGTGCTTGTGCGTCTTTTAACGTTGATCTTTCAAAATATCCATAGTGGTTTAATGCATTTGATCTTAAAAGTACACATTTAATGGTAATGGTTATGGTTCAAGAAATCTTTGACTTTCTTACCCTGTTTAAGTTTTGTTTTTTATTTAGTTTTTAAAAAAACCTTTCTCTGTGCTGACATATACGGAAAGAATCCCCCACCCCCTTGACGTTGCTCCTCTCAATAGTTCTTGGCCTTTCCTACTCTCCATGGCTACTGAACAGGAGGTGGCTGCGCTTCTTCTTTCCTCTCACCCCACCACTTATCTGCTTGGTCCCATCTCAACTTATCAGATCTATCTGCCCCTGTCTTGTGGCCCCTCCCCCCCCCCACTCCCTTTAAACATGCTACTTTTACACCTGTCTTTAAAAAGCCATCTCTTAACCTGCTTTCCATTTCTAACTACCGTCCCATATCACTGCTCTATTTTTGTTGTTTGTCTTTTCTTGATTTATCATTACTTGTCTGGCTTGCTTTTTCAATGCCAACTCATTTCTCGATCCCTTTCAATCTGGCCTCCGCCTCCCTCCATTCTACTCACACCGCTCTGATCGAAGTAATTAACAATCTAATTGCAACTAAAACGCCACTATTCATACTAATTCTTCTTGACGTCTCTGCTGCTTTTGACACTGCTGATCATGTTCCCCTTTTTCAAACCCATCAATACCTCAGCCTCTGTGACACTGTCCTCTTGTGGTTCTCCTATCTCTCCCAATGTTCATTTAGTGTCTCCTTTTCTGATAACACCTCCTCTCGTTCTGCATCGGTTTGAGTCCCCCAAGACTCTGTCCTTGGTCCCCTTTTGTTTTCTCTTTATACTGCCTCTACTGGCAAACTCGTTAATTCCTTTGGATTCCGCTACCACTTTATGCTGATGTCACCCAGATATATCTCTCCTCCCCTGATTTCTCCCCTCTTTACTAGAATGCATAACCAGTTGCCTTTCTTCTATGTCTGCTTAATGTCTTCCCCCTTTATGAAAATCAATCTCTCTAAAACTGAGCTTGTTATTTTAACTCTTCATAATACTGATCCTCCTCTTTCACTCTCCCTGCAAGTTGGTGGTACCGGCATCAGCCCGTCCTTGCAAGCTCGCTGTCTTGGTGTTATCTTTGACTCTGGCTTTATCTTTGCGCCTCAAATCCTGCCGCTTCCACCGTAGAAATATTGCCCATGTCCACCCCTTTCTCATGCTAGATGCTGCTGAGGAGCCTTTTCATTTTCTAGTAATTTCTCTCATTGATTTATGTAATTTTTTCCTAACTGGTTTGGTTACAATTACGTGTCTTTTCCTAATTGGTCTTCTCCGTACTGCCCCACTATAATCTGCAATGAATGCTGCCAGGCTGATCTTTCTCTCCTGACATTCCTCTCACACCTCACCTCTCTGTCATTCCTTACACTGGCTTCCTGTACCTTATAGGAGTCAATTCAAAATACTAACCCTTACCTATAAAGCTGTAAACAACTCTAGCTCATGTTGCATTTTATCACAAATTCATAGGTATGCACCATATCAGTCTCTGCCCGGTCAACTGTTCGCATCCATACTGGCTAACTC